AGCTTAAACTTAATTAAAACCAAAATTAAATTTTAAAAGAGGACGTAAATATTTTAAAACAATCGATAAACCCTAAAATATGCTCACCTAAATTTTTTTTCAAAATGGCGCTTTCGCCGTTTCTACAAAACACAGACCTATGACGACCAGATAGTATCACGCTAAGAATTAAAGTGAATTTAGACAGAAGTAAGAAGTTTTTGTCCCATATGCAGCTGGTAACGATAGGGAGCAAGAGTCAGTACGAAAACAACTTAAAATTTCCTGTACCGCCTCGTTTCCTAAAAATTTTTAAGCCCATAAATCTTTACAAGCCAAGCGAGGCTTATAGCGGAACAGTTCATGTATTTACAGAGGTTGCTACCTACGCTGGTTGCTAGAGTTATTTGCATCGTTTTGAGAATTAATTGTCTTCATTTCATGTAGAGCACTTACGTGCGTAATGAGCGCGGATGACCACTAAAATTGTGAAATTGGCATTGGAAATTACTCACAGACCACATAAATTACCCAATGTCGTTTATTTACTGTTTTTCTTGATAGTGTTTAATATTTAGTAATTGTAACGTCACGTGTGGTCATTTCTTTTTTATATTATATCAAGTAACGGGACGAACAAGTCTTGCGCCTGGCAGTAAGCGACACGCCTGTCTATAGCAGTTACATCTTCTTTCACGCCCGAACGCTTTCATACACACTGTTCCGTAATATGGATATATCAGCGTCACTCCAGCCACACTTATCAAAACTTTCAGGTCTGCTTTTGTGTATAATCCATAAGTGAAGGAACCAGCACCTCTCCATGCACAGCTAGTCATATCTTTTTAGACAGATTCCACTAATTAAAGAATTTAAATGGTAAAACTTCATGGAAGTTATATTAATGGAATGTATTTTACCGGCAAAAATTGTTTTGAAACAATGCCCAAATCATGTGACTTAGACAAAGAGTTATAGCCTACAGAGCCTTTGCAAAAGAGCAAAAGCACCGAGGTGAGTTTTAGAACCTAGTACAGCGATAAGCCTACAAGCGCTCTACTAGTGCGCTACAGATTTATAACTTTAGTAATGGAAACTCGTCTAAGTTAAAAGCAGAAACGAGTAATTTTCATGTTAGTTTTTTCAACCTAATTTTGGTGACAATTTCTATAGTTCAAATATTGTAGAATATTATCGTGAAACATTATTTAATATTCGAGTGTAGTAAGTGTATCCTGTAATATTATTTTAATATTTCACGATAATATTCTTGCACGCTTAAATAATAAAAAGTACCACCAAAATTAGGTAGATGAAGCCAATCTGAAAACTTACACAAAATAATGTTATGTATATAAGCCTTTATATTTATATAAGCCTTTGCAACCGAACTAGTGATTAATCTGTACCTTAGTGTACAGCGCCATATCCCACGGATAACACTAGCTTTAGCCAAGTAAAGTTAGTGATCTATCCATACAAAAAAAAACTACAAACTTTAAAACTGCTTTAACTACCTATTATGCCTTCGCTTACGCTTGGTTAAACTATGCTATAATTCTATGGGGCAATAACACGGATACGCCTAGCCTCTTCACTTTACAAAAGAAATTAATTAGAATCCTCACAAATATTGCCCAAACAGATAGCTGTAAACCCCATTTTATCAAACATAAAATCCTGACTCTCCCATGTATCTATATACTAGAAGTTTGTAAATTTGTACGAAACCATCAAGACTTATATAAAAACCGTAAAGACATCCCCACTAAATATACATTACGAAATATAAACAGATTAGTACTACCAATTCAAGATTAAATATGCATTTATCTAGTCCATACACCATGTCAATAAAAATATATAACAATCTTCCGGAAATTATAAAAAATGAACAAAATAACAAGATTTTCTTTAAAAACTTAAAGAATTTTCTCATAAATAAAAGTTATTATAATGTAAAAGAGTTTTTAGAAGATAAATTTGGTATCTGAATTTAGTAACTAGTCGATAATAAATATAATAATATAAAGCTGTTGGCGTTGGTATATATCAAATTATATATTAGTAAGTGTAACAATTATGAGACTAGTCCTCTCTTCTACTATTTGCTGTGACCTGTTCAGGGTCCATAATTGGACCTCAATATATGTAAAACATCTGTAATGTACATTATGGAATGCAAATAAATAAATAAATAAAGACATGGTATGGGGCCCCTTAACCTACAGAGAGACGTTGGCTCTCTGTGTGTATTCTACCGTCTTTATAATGCGGAGTGCTCTGAGGAACTTTTCAAATTGATGCCAACGTCTCGTTTCTACTATGCCCACATCTTAGATGTTCGTTCCTTCCTCGAACCTCCAAAATGTAGAATGATCTTCCTCCTGAAGTATTTCCTTTGCGCTATTACATGGGGTTCTTGAAAACGCGCATTTACAGGGCTCTCAAAGGCTGACAGACAAATGAATTTTTGAAGGTGAACAACGTTGACCTTATGAGAACGCGTACAGTCCCGACTTGGCACCTTGTGACTTTTATTTAGTCCCAAAAGTTAAGAACCCGTTACGCGGTCAACGATTTTCATCACCTGAAGAGCTGTCGAAGAGTATGAAAAATATGTTTCAGAGATTGTCACGGAGGAGTGGCATAAATGTTTTCAAAATTGGTTCATTCGTATGAGAAAGTGCATTAATGCTAACGGGGAATATTTTGAGAAACAATAAATTCATTTCTGACCATTTATAGTATTTTTTTCTTATTCATTCCGGAAACTTAGTGCTTATTGGCATTGGTACAAAAAATGACACGTAAATAACAAACAATTCATAAAAACACTAACAAGATGTATGACGATATAAACCTTGTCAAATTTAAATTAGTATAGTAAATTGTACTAATTTAAATAAAGAAAGTAAGTAAAGTAAGTTTTGGTGAAAATACAGGCACATGGGACTTGTGAACTTATGTCTCGGAGTGATGGGCGCAGTGGGCCGATCCGTCAGTGATCCTCAGATCTTTGTTAATTAAAGCTCTGAGTGGCACTTCAACTGTTATAGACAGGCGTGTAGCTTCCCGTCAGATGCACTAATCGTTCGTCCGTCACTTGATATTATATAAAAAAAGAAAAGAAAGTATGGAGTAACAAATTATATGAATAACATCAGTTCACCGGATCGGAGTTTAATTTACCTAAAAGGTTTTTATGGTTTGCCACCGAAGTTAAAAGCAGAAATCATATTTCCCTGTAACTCTAAATTATGATATAATTTTTTTGTATTTTGCTTGAGTGTAAGAATGACGAACGAAAATCAAGTAAGTAATTACACTTGTAATTAAAATAATTAAATTTTTCTCAAATCATTATGGTTTAAATGACTGACTGACTTATCAAATCCATGTGTGGACGTCCGTCTAAAAAATTAAAAAACCAACATGTTACACCTTTTTTTACGCAGGGAAATGCGTTACTCATACCACTCGCTTCAGAGGAGGTCCTGTATACCCAGTGGTTAACCCCACCGCCATACTACTGAGACGTATTAGCAGATGGCCTGTTCAGAGTGCCCCGGGAATTACATAGGGGCACCCTCAAGGTTAGGAGTAGGGGTCCCCCGATCCCACTCTCCAAGGTTCGCTACGGCAAGGGAAGAAATTCAACTTACTGCCTCCTTCGTCTCCCCGATCGCCGTTTTACGAGTGGGGCAGCGATTTCAACTTGCTGGTTTAAAGCTATAGTGATACAAAAACTTTATACTAAAGCTTTGTATACATCTTCTGCGTACTTGGATGACATAAATCCGAGGCAGTGACCGTTAGCTCTTGCAGGTAAGTCTCAATCTATGTTGTTTGAAATAATATTGTAAATGTTAAATGAGTACGAAAGTTTCTTTACAAAGAGCAATCTCTTGAGTTTTGTTCATTCTTCTGACGAATAAGCGGTAGCAGAGAATAAATAATCTCAGTACTGAGTACTAAAAAAAACAACCACAAATTTTTTGTGGTTGGTTTTTAAAAACTATTTCAAAAGTTTTATTGAAATCGGTTACCGGAAGGTGCGCGAAACCGGATTCACCTCCTTTTGAAGTCGGTTATTTTTAGTATTCTGTATGACTTTCAGTGTGAGATCTGAGAATATAGTAATATGTAATAATATATTTATTGGATGCTGATAAGCAATAACGTGACATACAATAACATGATCATAGTTTTTCGAAAATGGCACTTAAAGATATTTAATAAGTTTTATTTTCATTTTACAATAAATTGTATAACACTAAAAAATGTCATGTTTTTAATGCTACTTTCGCAAAACTGTGATCGTGTTGACAAACTCGTTATCTCCCATTATGAATTAGCTGCTTCAATTAATTACATTAATAATACAAAATTTATTAATCTGCAACGAATTCCACAATCGCGGTAAAATGTAACGAACCTTAGAAGGGTTTAAGTAAGTTAGTATTATTTGCTTTAATTCTTGGGGTTAACGGCCGTAAAGAATGGGCATGGCGAGACCCTTGTCTTCCTTGATCATTGTACGAGGCAACTAAGGTTAAGTAACTTTCAAGTAACTATACTACTACAAAATAACTATTTGTTAACTAGTGTGACATGGGCTCACCACTGGCTAAATAAAGATGTAAATGTTGAAAGAATTTTAGAAAAATTCTGTCTTTATTTTGCTCGTCTTTTTAGTTGAGACACCTACCCAGAGATGTTGTGTATTACAGTAAGAAAGAAAGAAAATAAATTTATTTAGCACAAACACTTGTTACAAGTACAATATTATGATTATATGCTTAAAGTGTATTGTACTGAAAAGGGCCCAACTCAGCAAATACTACGGCGTAGCAATAGCGCTGGTTTTCAGTGGACCCTTTTCAAAGTGACTGAGTTAGAAATAAAAAATAACAAATATAATTAAAAAGAAAATAAAAAATGTGTGTGTGAAATTAAAATACGTACAACATAAATAATATAATTTTTAGAAAAACAGTTTAGAAAAATAAAATTGCTACATGTCTACCACGTTTTTAAATACAGCGTTCGTGTTCGGGTTCAGAATCGGGTTCGGTTTCCTGTTCGAGTTCGGGGTCGTGTTCGGGTTCGTGTTCGGGTTCGGCTTCGTGTTCGAGTTCAGGTTCGGGTTCGGGTTCAAGTTCGGTTTCGGGTCCGGGTCTGAGTCCGGATCCAGGTCCGGGTCCGGGTCCAGGTTACGGTCCGGGGTCGGGTTCGGGATCGGGTTCTATTTCGTGTTCGTGTTCGAGTTTGGGTTCGCGTTCTTGTTCGGGTTCGGTTTCAGGTCCGGGTCCGGGTCCAGTTTCGCCTTCTGGTTCTGGTTCGAGTTCGGGATATTGTTCGGGTTCGGTTTCGGGTCCGGATCCGGGTCCAATTCCGGGTTCGTGTCCTGGTTCGGGTCCGGGTCCGGGTACGGGTCCGGGTCCGGGTCCGGGTCCGGGTCCGGGTCCGGGTCCGGGT